CTACTAAAGTGGCTGAAGAGCGCGACAGCGGCCGACTAAGGTAAGGGAGAGATGGGTGGGGAATCGCGCGAGTGACGTGTGGCGGCGTTTTGGATCGGCGCATTAAGTGGCCGGTGCGGGCCACAAGAAGCGAACAACGACGATTTGTAGCGTGTGGCGGCCACCGGCGTACCGTGTGTGGCGAGTCCATATAAAATGTATGAAAACTACAAGAAATATGCCGGTGGCGGCGTTTTGTGGTTGTGATCGGTGACCCGTGTGCGGCGACACTACAAGGTTTAACTTCACAAAGTCTACACCTTAGTGAAAATATGTGACTTGGCCGTTTTACAAGAATTTTCGTTACTACAAGAACTATTGTATAACAGAATCGACGGTCGACAAATTTTCACCTTCAACGCCCATGTGAATGTAGCGCAATGGCCATACAACTGAAATCTGAACTGAGTGGATTTTTTTCTAGTAAATTTTTCTTTAGATTAAATTCAATAAGAGTTTGTCCATCCACACAAAATATTAAAAAAAAACTTTAGTGACAGTTCTATCACTTCTAAAGCTTTCGAAGCGAAGGTGCGAATCTGACAAAACTGCAAGTTACAGTCGAAACAATACACGGAACCGCACACGTTCTGTTCCCTATACTATTTCTTTGCTCACACCATAAAAATGTATTCAAAACGCGATTCGTTTTGGCACAACGATGACATGATTGGCTCAATTTAAAAAAACAAACTTTTATGGAACCAAGTTTTTGAAATGATGTTTGTTAAAAGAACTGTGTTAGTTTTACAAATTGTTATAATATATGTGTCTAGTGAAAGCAATTCGGAACCTAGGCGAGGGAGATTATTCTCTTTTAATTCTAAGAATGAAGACATAAAGGTAAGTAGAAGATAATACTTATATTTAGTTAGTTAATTTAGTTAAGAAAGCTCGCGCTAAACCGACAGCGCAATAATAAAATGCACTAACTGCAAACTTTGTACCAAGTTAAGTACGACTTAACTAATTCGATCCAATACAAATGAGAAAAATATTTGAAGGATATCTAAGTATATAGGATATGTGTATGTATAAGGGCGATATTTGTATTGATTTGTAGATTATAAATAATTTACGTTACAAATAAATAGTTATAGTAATGAAGGTATATATAAATTCTTTGCTATAAAGAGGTCACTCGCGATGAACTTTGGTTTTTTATATTAAACATTTTATTAATTAATTCACATTTTGACAACAAGTATGTAAAGGTTACTAACATATTTTGTAGTTTTTTTTTGTGAATACCTAATTTTCTGTTACCCAATTATCGTGTAGAGTCGTAATTTTCTGTGCAACTCGCTTTCCTTATTTTATTTGTATTGCATTAAAATCCTTCACACAATATTAGAAAACTTATGATGTAATAGGTAAATCATTAAAGTCGTTCTCAATATATGAAGTGACCAAGAAAAATAGGGAATCATTGTTTAATAGACATTATAGATAAAAAAAACCCTACTGCACACATAATCGGACCGGCAGTATCTTTATATACTCGTATATAAAACTCAAAGGTGACTTGACTGACTGTCATAGTGATCTATCAACGCACAGCCCAAACCACTGAACGGATCGGGCTGAAATTTAGCATGCAGGTAGATGATAAAATAGGAAATGAAACTTTGTCAATTTTAAACCGATCGGGCTGAGACATTGCATGCAGGTATAAGAAGAATCATAGATGAATGTAATTGTGTATAATACAAGCCTGAGAACAAAAACTGTAGTCTACACTTCAGCTCTACACCGAAGCGAAGCGAGGGCGGGCCGCTAGTCTATACATATAATTAAATGGAAGAAAAGTCAAAACTGTACAATGTTTTTTTTTAAATACTTGGGGTTTGATCTACAATCTATACTGAAGCCAAAAATATAGTTTTTAGAATTTTTGTCAGTTTGTCTGTATGTATGTCCGGGATAAACTCAAAAAGTACTGCATGGATTCACTTCAAAAGCACGAATATTATTAAGAAGTCGGGTCAACATATAGGCTACATATTATCTCGAAACTCCACCCCTAAGGGGGTAATACGGGGGTTGGAAGTTTATATGAAAGTCCTATGTTTTTGAAGTAAGCGACTTGAAATTTAACATGTATGCTCTATAGATGGTGTAGAGGTGTACTAATAATGTATCTTTAGAAATAAACCCCCTTTTGGGATCAAAAAGTATGTGCAAATAACTAACTCCACGCGTACGAAGTCGCGGGCGGCCGCTAGTAGACTATATAAGGTGTGACAAAAGACCGAAATAAAACTTTAGAGTTTGGTTGTGTTCCTTGTATAGAATTACCTACGAAAGTTTGACGCGTTTCAGACCACTTTTATTTTCTAATTAAATTAATAAAAATATTGTTTTATACCTGCCTTTGACAACCCTATAAATGCGTACGATTACTACTACCTAAACAGACCCCCCTCTCTCCCCCAGGCGCCCCTGCGCCCCGCTCAGATACCTACAAATTTTTATTTCGGAATACATACCTACAAATTTTATTTCGGAATTCTGTAACACCCTGTATAATGATTGGCCCTATAAGCGAAATTCTTTATATGTTTGTCTGTACTAAATTAATTATTCGTTTCCGATTGAGTGTACTTCAACAAAGCTGTTAAATAGGGTAGGAGTTTCAAAATAAGAGGCCTTTTAAAAACTCAATATTATTATGCATTGAAATATTTCAATATCAACTGAAAAAGTTTCAAATGTTTAGTCATTGGCCCTCGAGATATAAAAATTTCACGCACTGGGTCTAGAGCGAAGTGGTCCCAAAGCCGAATGGGCTCTCTGTCTATCTAGCTACTAGCCCAGCTGCGTAGCTCGCTGCCTATCTAGTTGCCTAGCTAGCTGCCTCACTAGGTAGTGTAGGTGTAGGACGGTAAATTTTCGCCCATGCCCTATCCGTCATACCGTTCGAAAAGAAATTTCGTTCAAAAATAAATTACGGAACAGTGATTAACACAAGTGCCAATTATTGTACTCCCATACTGGAGATAGCAAAGAATGAAACAGACAGACAGAAACAAAACTTTGTATTAAATTTGAGGCGAAACTCTGCTTAAATACAATTTTCAGATATGCGGTGGTTTTTCGTAGCCTGAGCTGACTGTCAAATGGCTGAAAGTGACTATCAAAATTAGTTTTTTCAACAAAATTTGCCATTTGTGGAGGTCTATTATCTACTGGAGATTGAAGAATTGCCGTAAAATAATAATTAAAAGCTATAGTTTTTAGTATTTTTGTTTTAGTGTAAATGCAAGATGACCAATTATTGCGTCGAATAACAAAGCCGACCCGTAATAATTACTGCCATTTCATTCATCTACACATATCCGATTTCACCGCCTGGCTGTGGCGATTAATGCCGGTTATAACTTTATTATATTTATTTTTAAGCATTTATTTGCAAGATGTTTAAATCTATGGGCGGTGCGGGTTCGAGTACCGTCTGCTGCCTGGACCACGTAGATTTTCTTCTAGTAAAATTTTCTTTGAATGGCATCTTGTTTTCACACTGCCATTATTACAACAACTGGGATTCAATTTATTTATTTTGCTTTAGTCACATGAAAAAAGTGGGAAAAAGTACCCACTAGTTCCATTCATAGTAGGTTAGGTTAGGTTAGGTACTAGCCAATGGAACCTACATCTTGCGAGCTGAATTCTGTTCCCATACTTACTTCGTGTTGGTCTATGTCAAAGATAATATTATTTAATACAAGAATGTTCCTTTTCCAGATTGATTTAGAATTTTCAATACCTTTTTTGAGTATTCCGGTCAAACAGACGATGGAGTCAGCATTCGGATTAGCCTCAGTAAGTATTTATCGTCAGTAGCCTTTTATTATATGTATTCCCGACCATCACACCAAACATGTTGCCCTGGTACATCAGTTTCATTCATAACAATAGGGATACTTGAAAAGCATTCTTTTCTGAATGACTAATACGAGTCTTTTAACAAGATTTTATTTAACTTGCAATGTTCAGTGCGTATGCATGTAAATGTAGTCTCAACGGGAACACTGGAATGGAAATCGAGACTTATCTACCTTCACACTGAACTTTGAAAGTGTGACGGTGTGATGACGGTCGGGAAAAAAGCCTCTAAATAAATAAGATTAGAAAATCAGTATCATTAAGAAAGCAATTGACAAAATTAAAAATTAATTGACGTCTGCGTGCGACCGTTACTCTTGCCAGAATGCCAGACCGAAAATAAACAGTCGTTGTTGAGGGGCCTGTAAATAATCCTGATCGATTATCTGCCTTATCTTGCTGCAACTTATTCCATATTTTGCCAACATCGCGAAGCCTAAGTATATGGTGGTAATATCAATAAGCGTTTGAGAGATACCCTAATTGTGTTTTCATATGTGTATCTACCTATTAATTAATTTGATCAACTGCTCCTTTTGTTCTAGGGTTATCCATTAATAAATATCAACCCAACCTCACTCGTGTTCGGTGGTGCTGTGTTACTCGTCACGACCACACTAGTACCGTGGCTCCTTAAAAGCTACACGGTGCATAATCCTCAGAAGAAGTATTTCAAATGTAAGTACTCCTACACAACCAGGATTATGGAAAGTAAAGTAAAAGTGGTCCTTTTCAAGCTTATAACAGATCTGTGTCCTCAAGCTAGTTGATGTAGAGTTTTATTTTAAATAAAAAATATTTGCCTTGCAGCCTAAGAAAGGTTAGAGAAAATTCAACACGGCCATTAGGGCCACGGTAGCATAACTGTCAGTGCATTTGCCCGGATAGCGAAGGGTGCGGGTTCGAGTCCCGTCTGCAGCCTGGTCCGCGTAGATTTTTTTCTAACAAAATCTTCTTGAAATTTAAATATTTGGTATTTAAGGTGTAGATATATATATTTGAGAACAACAAATTTAAAAGTAAACCAACATTCATAAATAAGACAAGAGTACTATAGATTCTGAAGCAAGGTAAATTCACGATCGGCAAGTAGGCCTACAGCACGCCATTCTACCCGACGTCTTCTTCTTCGGCCTTACGGAATTGCAAGATCTCTTTTTGGGTATATCTACAATCCCTGCATCAGCTGGTATGTACTGAGTTTCCACATGTATAAAATTCTGTCGTTTTCTCGGAGCTAAATCAAAACACCCGAATGGTGGAGTATATTCAATATCCCAAGTTGCATTACTAGACAAAGAACTCAGGGATTCATCTTGGCAAATACAATCGGGTTCTTTGAATGCAGGACAGTTGTCAATAACTTTGTCGATCGCCGAAAGATCATTGCAGAATACGTCCATATAAGCACATTTACAAATATCTTCCACTGCTTCAGAAAGAGCTTTTCGTATTTCAGCATCTCGCTGCTTTTTCAGTTTTACCATTTTACGAGCTTCTACTTTCGCCTGCTCTTCGGGACTCCTTTTCTTTATAATCTTGAAAACCATTGGATCACAATCGACATAGGGGTCTTCATTGGGTGCAATTTCCGTTAAATCTTTTAGCGGATTTACCTAGAAAAAGTTTAGAACTTTTCTCACATATTTATGGAAACTTTGATAATCCTACTTTAAAGAATAATTCATTTTAATTTTTTTACGAATACATTTGTTATTCTAAATATATACTTCAAGGCAATATACTATAAGGGTTTCAGAATAGCTGAATAGAACATCTTTAAAGTTTAATTTCAATACAACTACATGAAAAACTAACCTGTATCGTAAAGACATCTCCTTTCTTCTGGACCTTTAACGCGGGCTTAGGTTCCAGGGGTTCATCGGGCTCGGAGTCTCCGCCACCCAGATCAACGCCAGGTCTGTTGCCTTTTTTCTTCTTCTTCTTGTTCTTATCTCTTTCATTGCCTCCACGTGCGCATTTGAAGGTCATCAGTTTAGCCACACTTTTACCAATACTGCCCGGTTGCCATCCTCGGCGATACTAGAAAAACAATGATGTACACCATTATTATAGTCTTACAAATTTAAATCACGTTGTCTTTGAATTCCGTGATGAATTCGTATAATCTATCATTAATCTTTAGATAGAAGTGTAATACCTTTAGTCCTGACACATCAGGTGCATTCCAAAGCCACCCCATATTTGAGGGAACTGCGTAGCCTGGTGCGCGATATAAACATTGCTTATGTCCAATAACAACTCCTGCAGATAGAAACACGGGTTACGCTTCTATAGGAACTACAGTTTAAAACCTATTAGAAAGTCGATAGCAAAATATCAAATGTACCTGGATGAATATCGCCAAACGTGTAATTATATTTAGATGCGCTTTTCTTTTTCTTCTTCTTGTCACTTTCTTCATCTTCACCCATGTTGTTTTTCTTCAAATCTCTAAGAAGAGTATTATTATTAATTTAGTACATACCTTCTCTATCCTACAACGTGGATTTTAAGTATAAAATCAAATGCCTGCTTATCTACAATAGGTATAAATATGTTATACTAACAGCATTAACTCATCATCAGCCCATTAATGTCCCCACTGTTGGGGCACAGGCCTTCCCTACGGATGGAATAGGGAGATTGGGCAATGACCCACCACACGGGCCCAGTGCGGATAGGTGGGTGCTAACGACTGTAGATGCAGCCGGAACCAATGGCTTAACGTGCCTTCCGAAATACGGAGGAACTCGAGATAATTTGGTCACCCATCCAATGACCGACCACTGCGATAGTTGCTTAACATCAACGATTGCAGCGGAACGCGTTAACCACCTACGCCATCGAGCTCCTCAACTTACTAAAAGTATATTAATAATAAAATTAAACAATCAAAAATCTTAGTGCTATTTTTTGTTAATTTTTAAAAGTTTAAAAAAATTAAACATACTAAGGGTTACAAAATAAAAATTCACTATTATGTTAAACAGTCTTCATTATTTGTCCTCTTTGTATTTGTCTTGTATAGCCAATTTGTGTGATCCACAGCAACCTTTTCCCGTCAAAGCCATCAGTCGTTGCTCTTTATCACAGCACCGTCTCTCTGTGTCAATGTTAAATTGATTTATGCAGCGATAATCATGATCCTTTTCGTATTTCATGTATTCCTTAATAGCTTTCTTAATTCTTTCATATTCTTTAGAACAACACACTTTTCCTGCGTCGCTATAACTGGGTGGTGGTGGTGGCTGCGCAGCTACCTTATACATTCTTGCAAAACCATCGGGATAAGTACAGGGCTTGCCCAATACTGGACATGGGCCAAGTTTAATCGGAGGCAAACCATACGGTAAGGGTTCCGTTTCATTTTCTTCATCTTCGAGTTTAATTTTCTCTTCATCCTCATTACATATAGTTACTGGGCAGTTCTCTTTGTGCTTGTAAGCAGGGCAGTAAGGTTTGTGTTGTTTCCGATTAGCTATATTACCAATTTCAGTAATGCATTCACAATCGAACGTCTTACAGGGTGGCGTTGGCTTGGGAGGACTACATTTACAGTCTTTGTCATCTGGTATATTTGTACAAAAATTATATGCAGCAAATTTGCGATCTTGTTCTTTAATCTCAGCATTGTAAATATATGTATTAGCAGCATCGTTAGGAGTAATAGCATACCCTTTTAAATCGGACTTAAAATTAGGCATACTTGTTACAGTAACCACCTGTCTAGATAATGTGTTTTCCAATCTACTGTGACAACAACAACCGCCACCGGCTTTAGTTGATAGACTAGTAGTAGCATTCACCTGGAAATTGTAATTGGTTTGGCAATTTTCAACAGTAAATTTTGATCCATTCATAGAATATTTAAAATCTGGAACTTTAGTAACACTAAAAACATAAGCAACTGTCGTTTTACTCTGTTTTGGCGTAGCACCTGTTCCATAATGTTTTTGGTTTCTATCCTCACACGTTTCACCAGCTGATGTAACTCCACCACAATCTGAGCAAACTACTTTCTCACGTTTTTCCATTTCTGGGCATGTATCTCGATGCCATTTATCATCTTTACAGTCACAAGTGCCACAGATCTTTTTTGATCCTTCGGGTTTAGGTCCGGACACTTTTCCTATTGCTTCTTTCTTATACGCTTCCAAACTTCTTATGTATGTCCTAACTTTATGAGCGAGTGCGCAGTTTGCGTTTCCACATGGCCCAGTAATGTCACCCATACGAATCTTATCGATAGAATACTTCTTTTTATCCCTATCTTCGTCTTCTTTATGTTCACATTTATAGTTTTCGTCTCTTTGTCCGACCCCACAACTTTGTAATTCTGTACATACTTCGATTTTCTTCTGTGCGTTATTTACTATATCCGGATCCTCTAGTGTAGCTGTTTCATAAAGACTACCAACCATACAGAAGTTAGGATCATCACCGTCCACTCTTTTACATTGAAACATACTTGGGGCTTTGTCCGTTCTAAAGACAAAAGAATCTGGGTCTTTCATGAGCTGTTGGAATTCCGTAACGATAGTATCGCCTAAAGCACTCAACCTGAGTATAAAAGAAACTTCACCAACTTGCTTACAACAACACTCTGCGTATATGGGCGTAACCTGTTTTATACTAAGTGGCTCATGTAGTTTGCAAGCGTCTGCGGATTCTTTAAGCATGTGAAAGAATTTGGTGTCCCAATGCATATTACCGACACCAACAAATATATTAACTTCGTTCTCATCATCGTTCCAGACTTCTATTTCTAGTGGAAACTTGCTTAGAATCATGAGTACAGTGTCCGGATAAGAGGGAAACAGGAATGATTTACCAACTCTGATAGTTCTACACCATTTCCTCCGACCCTGAGCATCACATTCAATGATATCGTCCTTGTTTTCATCATTCAGCGCTAATTGTCCTTCCTTGATAATGAACTGAACTTTAGGGCCGAATTTTACTTTAACTATGAGACTCTTTTTCGCACCGCTCTTCTCGTTCTCCTCAGATGCGAAAACTGACACTTTGTCAACGAATATTTCAATGAGGTACATTTGCTCCATGACCTGCCAAGTGCAATAGTTTAAACGTAAGAATACCTTCGCTTCGTTTCTTCACGTTGAAAGTTAAATTATCATGTAAATTATCACTTAAAAGTGTTTAAATATCTGAAACTATATGAAATTCGTCAAATATTTATAATTTGAAAAACTGAATTCGAGTTTGACACATTCGTTTTAATTTTAAGTAACTATAAAATTCAATAGTATGTATGATGTATGTAATAAAAGAAATAGTCAACAAATGCATAAAGGTATAGCGTACTTGACAAGTAGATTTCAAAAATACTTACGATATTTTATATTTAACTCCTGCCGTGTTACTTAGAGAACTTCATAACTAAGGACACTGAAAATTTTATTTTGTAATCCGAAAGCTAGATGTTCGCCATGACCAATTTTTTACGTAACTGTCATTTCTGAGAAACAAGTCACATTTTGATTTTCGAAGCATGACCTACGTATTTTCTTGATTTGATTAATGCTTTTTGACTCTGTTTTACGTTGTTTATAAACCTCAATAGATTTATTACGAATTTTACCTTTATGATTTTACCTTACAATAATTTTACTGAATAGTCTCAATCAATAGAGTAAGATCCCAAGACCGGCCGGACCCTACTTATTTTCTCAGGGACAAAATATGGATAGAAATCAGAAATCAATATATCTTTATTCAAATTGTATAGTACAACTCTTTTGATTGAATCATCAATTTTTTCCCCCTACCACACGTTATTGAACATTTTTTTAGCTGCGGAGAAAAACGAGCGGAAAAAACTCCACAACATTAAAAGTATAATGTAACAACATTTACAATTTACAAATCATTATGTTGTTACAACGTCAATACAATCCTGATTTATTTAATATAGAAAACCTGTTGGAATGATTGGAACAGTTCAAACCCAAGCATTTTTGTCTGTAATATAATCAGACACTGTGTAATAAGCTTTTTTTATAAGTGCTTTTTTATACTATCTTTGAATTTATTTATGGTTAGCTCTTGATTTTGCTTAGGACTTTATTGTATAATCGAACACAAAGACCTTTAAATAAATATTGATTTTGTGAAGCTTAGTAGCAGGCAAAGTTAGTTTATTTTTGTTTCATGTAGCGAGTGAACAATGTGAACATCACTGTTTTTAAGAAACAAATAAATATTTTATCTTACAAGTAATAAATTTTCGTATATGTATTGTATTTATTAGATCCTCTTTACACCACGAATGCCGTTAAAACAATTAATTTAAACTAACGAGAACACTCTTATCAGTTCTAGATGCTGCTGATTTTGAAACCGAAGAGATGTTGGGGTTTATGAGCAAGTTTCTGACGGAGAGTGGGAACGTGCGAGGTTGCGCCTTGAGGGTGGCCTGCTGGACCGGCCAGACGCAGACCAACACTGACCTCCTACAGATCTGGAATCGTATATTGAGGTATAAAAAAATTCAAACACACCTATACGCAAGACAGACGCCATAATCAGACAGCAGACGGGACTCGAACCCGCACCCTTCACTATCCAGGCGAATGCACTGACCAATTATGTTACCGCGGCCCTGATGGCCGTGTCGAATTCTTTCTTAAGCTGCAAAGCAGCGCCATCTCTTGGCATTGTAGGTAAACCACAATGTCAAATGAATACCTTTATAAGTATTAAAACATTTGAAAGAAGAAATAGCAATTAAAGATAATTATAATTTTATTTTATTTTTGTAGTAATTTATCAGTAATTTATTTTCTTTAGATTTAAACATTGAGCTGTTACATGCTTAAAAATGATATATATATATCTATAACACTTCCTTTTGGTGGTGTTGTGTTTCTTTCGGTGACTAAGGTTCCAGACCTCCACGGGGTAGGGAATGGGGTAGGGTAAGCAATGGTGGGATTGATATTTTTGGTATCTCAAGCATCTTTATGCTATGGTGGCTGCTTACCATCAGGTGGACCGCTTGATTGCCACCTTTTGTACTTATAAAAAGAGTAACAATTTCTCACTAATATCTTTGAAAGACGCCTTCCTCGCCACTGGAAGTTGCAATGAGTCCGTCCAGCTTAAGGCTCAGCGAGCGAAATGAGCTGGGCACTAAAACGCTAGGGATAATAATATATAACTAACTTTTTTTCTTCGTCTATCAGGTAGACTATCAAAAAGTATTGGAGACGTATTTTTTCTTCATTTACTTACATAATCAAAACATTACAGAGATACGTTGATTTGAAATGTCGCATCACGTCACGTCTTGGTACAATTTTACTTAGAAGTCACAATCAGACGTCACGAACTTATTCCCAAACTTTGACGCGCTTTATTGTTGTTATTTTTTTAGTTTATTGACAAAAAAAAATAAGTGTCCACTTTATTTTCATAATGTTACTGAAGGACTGATCTTTACACCTCACACGCTCGCTCTGACACCAAGGGCGGATCCAGCTTTGGCGCAAGGGGGGGGGGGGGGTCATATAGTCGTGGTCAAGTCATAATAGGTACAGATTGTGAAGTGGGTACAGATGATGGACCCAGCCCAGGGGGGGGGGTCATGACCCCCATGACCCCCCCCCCCTCTCTGGATCCACCCTTGTCTGACACGTTCTCTCTCTAAGGATCGAGGTCCCGAATGAAAATAAATCGAGGAGAATGCATATCGAGAGTGCGAGTGGTCGCTGCCCGAAGGCATGCTTAATTACCCATATCTTTCTATCTTCTTTACCACGAACTTGCATGCTTAATTACCCATATTTTATCTTTCTTCTTTATTTATTTTTCTGTGGGTGTGTTCCCACATAAATGGTTTGTAGGAAGGACAAGAGGAAGATTTTGTCTTGTTTCGCTAATTATATGAGAACCGATTTCGTTAAAAATGTATGTATGTATGCAATTAAGGCATTCGAGGAAGTCCCTGGATGGTAAAGATTCATAATTGAACCCAATAGGTGGCGTTGCAAGTGGGTTCTGGGTATTTTTATTGGAATAAGGTCTGTGGATATGCTAGGGGGGGAGGGTCATGGGGGTCATGACCCCCCTGGGCTGGGTACAGGTGGACCAAACCCAGGGGGATTTTATTTAAGTACTTTCAATATTTAATATACCACGACTATATGACCCCCCTGGCGTCAAAGCTGGCTATATGACCCCCCCTGGCGCCAAAGCTGGATCCGCCCTTGCTAGTACATATATAATACACCTATATTTTAGAGAAGTAGGACGTGGCAGATTATTTATTCGAAGCCTGTCTAGAAGTAAGACTTCTCCTTTGATGCATGATTGGTCTCCCTTCGTCGACCGCAGGGACACCAATCATTTATCTATGCTTTTCTCTCATGGTACGATATATAAGGCATTCACAGGGTACGTTGAGGTAATCGATGCCACCTATTTCATAATGTTCTGAAGTTTCATGTACCTAGTTTGCAGAAAAACTTCGCCTATAAACAAGTGTCTCGAACGGGTCGTAAATAAAACACGAGCGAGCCTCAGTAGTCGCGTATGATGTGTTTCATTTCAAACCTCACCTTATATAAGTAAAAAAAGAAATAAAACCTACTACAAAAGGAATAAGCCATTTGAACATTATGTTCTAAAATCAAATCAAATAGCGCGCGCTTTCGCGACTTCCTATTACACACTTCCGTCCCATTTCACGAAATCACTCCCACAAATTGCAGGAAAGCGAGAGGAATGATGTTACACATCAAAAATATTGTAATCAAACAATTTTATTTAACAGCAACAGACTTCTATCAGCAATGGTGAACTCTACGGTGGTGACAGACGCAATGCTGTCGGGCAGGCACGGAAGAGACTGCGCCTCCTACAAGCCGTGCCCTTTGAAGGACCAACAAATGCCGCCTATAGTTGAAAATATCTCCATGCTTGCTCGGAAAATGTACTACAATAGCTAATTATTATATATTATACTTAAGTACCAAATAAATTTGTTTTTTTTTTATTTGCTCTGCATTAATGTGAAAATGAGTAACTCGATGGCGCAAGTGGTTTGTACGTTCGGCTGCAATCGTTGCAGGTATGCAACTTTACTATCTTGAGCTCCTCCGTCCTTCGGAAGGCACATTCAGCCGTTGGTCCCGGCTGTATCTGCAGTCGTTAGCACCCACCAATCAGCACTGGGCCCGCGTGGTGGGTCATGTCTAGCATGTCTAGCATGTCATGTATGTCTAGTATGGCCAGTGTCCCCATTACATCCATAGGGAAGGACTATGCAACTATAAGTGAAAATTCACTCAAAAGTAACGTCACGAGCCCCTTTGACTCGCTATAACTTTGTCATTTTTTGGTTGATTGCTCAAAGAAAAAAATACGTGTCCATTATTTTTTGATCATCTAACTGACGGACTAAATAGAATTTCGTTTACTGTACCCCGTCATCACCCCTATTGATTTAGATAATACGTGTTGCTATAGTCGCCACTTCTGCTCGAAACTGCGGGAGAATGCCTGTAAACGCAACGTCCAGTGTTTTTTAAGGATTTGAAATAAAACTCTTTAAACAAATGCTTGACGAACAATAAATTTATTCTGTCAGTATCTCTGCTATATTGTGATATTGGAGTTTTTTCGCGTAGTCGAGTGCCGTACATCCCAATACGTCGATGAGGTTTTTGTCCGCTAGATGTTCCACTAAATAGCGCACAGCCTCAGGATGATTGCTCAGGACCGCCTGAAAATAACAAAAGATAGTAGATAATATAGCAAGCATCATTAGTAAGTGGACGTCCACTTCTTAATCTGTGGTCAAAGAAGACTTTTAAGGGCTCATACCCACGAGCCAGGTTTTCGCGGGCTTAACGATATCGGCGCGCGGCGCAAACGACACGTTTTGGGTCGGTGCAAACGAACAAACGGTGCTCGAGAAAAAGCTTAGCTGGCACCCGGCCAAGCGAGAAAAATTCACAGATCTCGTGCTCTACATGACTTGAAAGGGCATTGAAAATGAATCTACCTATTATGGATTACTAGCTGTCCCAGCGAACTTCGTGCCACCATAAAAAATGGGGTTTAGTGGTAAAAGGGTGAAAATTCAGGGTTGTATGTATTTTTGTATGATATAATAAAAAAAATAAAAACAAAAAAAATAACAAAATATCCAAAAAAAATATTTTTTTATAGGTGGACCTAAAACCCTTAACATTTAGGGGGATGAAAAATGTTGTCCGATTCTCAGACCTACTGAATAAGCATATAAAATTTCACGAAAATCGGTCGAGTCGTTTCGGAGTAGTTCAATTACGCACACCGTGACACAAGAATTTTATACTTATATTAGATTTTAAAATAAACTATGTGATGCGATACTATATATAAATGACGAAATTTCCGGTATTAAAATTGTTCAAAATTAAAACATACTACAAACTATCTATTAACTCAATAATACTTTATAAGAATGCGGGTTGTGTAAAAAAATATAATTACAGTACTATGAGTTAATGATGAATATCGTTACCACAAACCCTAAAATGAATCGGAGTTCACGGAAGTTTAAGTAGAGGTATGCAATAATTACCTAGGAATATTATTTTCATTTTATCAAGACAGAGGACAAGATTATAAAATATTGGCTGATAATATGTTGTTTAACGATTTCCACTATAATTATTTTGAAGGTTTGTATGTGCATAGAAAGTATGATATTGTACACAGTGAAACAAGATTATTTTTTCAATTCAGATTAATATGCATTATCATCTGCAAATATTTTATTCTTCTTTGTGTTAAAAGTATGGTAAACAAGCATATGCCGTTATAAGCCCGCCTGATGGTAAACGGCTACCATGGCCTATAGACGCTTGTGATTAGAGTTACTATTTAAAAAATTTAAAAGTCCTGATAAAAAGCCGGACATTGCGATAAAAGTCCGGACATTTTAGTCACAAAATGCAAACATCACCCACTTAGTAACAGTGATATTATACGCGTGGTAGCAGACGGGGGGGGGGGGGGGTCTCGTTGTTGATTTTTAAAGATGATTTATATTTTGTTTTAAATTAATGAGAACTTAATAAAGATTCTTTGACTTATTTGATATAACTTAATAAGTAATTTTACTCATATTCCATCTAATTAAAAAAATCTGGACAAATTAAAAAGCCGAACAAAGGGCAAAAAGTCCAGACATGTCCGGACAAAACCGGACGGATGGTAAACCTACTTGCGATACCAAAAATATCACTCGCGCGGTTGCCTACATTGACCCAATCCCCGTGGAGCCCTGGAGCCTTACTGACCGACAGAACCACAACACCACCAAAATGAAGTGTTATTTTACTGTGGTCTACTGTAAAATGAAGGTTACTTCCCCAGGCGGGAGCTTCAATTCGAGCGGGAATTCTGCTTTGTCCCACCTCTTAATTCTATTTTATTATATTCTTCTAGCTGAACTTCGTAC